TTGATTTTAGGGTTAGTTTTGTTCACACAAAGGTGTGTGGAGAATACTATGGATCTTCCTCTAAAACTTCTCTCATTCCTCTTTTCTTTGTTCAGCCCACTGCATTAATTGAATATTGTTGAGTCTATCTATGCAGAAAATATACTAATTATCTAGTAAAGTTTTGGGGATAGGAGTTTGCATTTTGCAAGTTTCTAATTAAAAAGTAAAATTGTAATGTGACATTTTAAAAATAATAGGAAATGTTCATGAAATTAGAAAATTTTACAAGGGATATCATTGAAATTTACCCATTCATATCTTAAGGTCTCAACCGTCAATCTCGCCAGAGACATCTTGGTTGACCTAGTACTATTTGTAGATGATGGTGGGTTTTCAGTAGGAATTTTTTAGGACATTGAAGGAATGTACAAGTAGGGCCCTTGTTAACTTTAATTTGACAAAGCATCGCTTAGGATGTGAAGGGTGTGTATTCCCTCCATACACAAAATAACAATCTTCTTACATGGAGATGAGTCATGAATGATACTGATGAAAAACAATGTCTAAGGGCGGCTCACTAATGACTAAAAATGAGTAGGAGAATAAAAAAATCCATCGCCCAACCGTTCAAGCGTAATGTAGTGGTGTGAATTATCTCGGAATCTCAATTGTCAAATTCTTGTAAGAGACCCGATACATGTAAGTTATAACTAATTCTAGGTATTCCAAATTTAGAGTGTTTCAACTTGTTCTATAGAAGTACGCATGATTCCCGACTTTTAAAAACATGGATTAGTTGTGTACTTTTAATGAGAATAGGGTGCACCTAGGATTAAATAAAAAAACTTCAAATTCTTTCGCACATTGAAAAATTATAATTTAAGCTTTCTTCCAAAAAAAAAAAAAGAAAAGAAGGGAAAGATTATAATTTAAGCAAAGAAGACGCCAAGAAGATAAAGTAGAAATGTAGAAGGTTGGAAATACAATAAAAAGACTTTTATCTTTCGGCCCACTTTCCACGCACACACACGCACATACATTGGCAGATATTGTCTTCTTACCAAACCGAAAGCCAAACTAAAGCTACCAAACCAACCTGTTCTCCACATTTCTTCATCTGTACTGTCACTTCTGCCTCAAACCAATACGAGGGGAGGGGGGAGAGAGAAGGTGTGGGGGAAGGGGGTTTGGGTGTTTGGTCACCATCGACTCCTTTGAACTATATTTGGTAGGCTTGAGTTCGATTTGTTGTTTATAATGTGATATGTAAATATTTGCCACAAAGAAGAAATAATGTAGTAATGCGATAAGACGTCAAGTTTATGATGTCATAAAGCATTGTCCTTCAATGCCAAACCAACAAGGGACGATAGGTTGGTATCATAAGAGAGAAGGTGGGGGGGGGGGGGGGGGGGG